GATATTAGCATGTTTTCATGTGCTTTTTGATCATTTGTATGTCTTCCTTGGATCCTCTTTTTCTTGAACTTCACATAGTCTGAAAATCTACTAGTCATCAAAAAATTATGCAGATTTCCATGGTGCAGAAGGTGTCTTCAGAATGTCATTTCTTATATCACCAGGCTATAAAAGGAGGATATTTTTAGGGAGGCATCTAGAAAATAAGCCATTGACACTGTTCATATTCAGCTCAGTGTAAAATCTAAACTCCTGTTTCACATAAGTGGAAGTGAAGATTGTTACAACCTTTGGAGAGGGCAGTTTGGCAGTATCTCTCAGAATTATAATACCTGTATCCTTTGACTCAGCATTTCCATGTCTAGGAATTTCTCCTTTAGGTAGATTTGTACATGTACAAAATGACATGTGTACGAGATTATACATTGCAGCTAAAGACTGGAAATCACATAGATGTCAGAAAGAAGACTGATTTAGCAAGTCCAATACATCCACAAAGTGGCATATTTTTTCCAGGCAGGTGAAAACAGAATAAGGAAGTTCTGTACTGATGGAGAAAGATCTCCAAGGTACACATTGTTCTGCACCTTGGTTTGTTCACATAACAGTGTGTTATTTGCTGCTATCCTTTTGTAAAGGAAATATGTGTATGTACTGGTATATGCATAAAGGACCTCTGGAAGTTCAGATAAGCAACTAGTAGTATTGGTTGCCCATGAAAAGTAAATGAGTGGCTGGAGGACAGGGTTGAAGGAGGAACGTTTGCCACCTTTTTGTATCTTTTTTATTTTGAATCATTATTTAAAAAACAAAACAAGCCACCTTTGCTATCTGAGGATATAGTTATAGTGATGCTATGGCCAGGGGTTCCCAAACCAATAGTTTACAACCTGGCTGGTGATCAGAATAATGGGGGACCTTTTCCAAAACGAAGATTCCAGATTTTGATTCTATATATCTGGGTTAGGGCTTACATATCTGCATTTTACAGAAAGAGCCCTAGTAAATTTCGATTATTACTGAGTTTGGCAAACTCTGTCTTAGGATCTTTCCTACTCGAGAATATAACCGTATATATGTGTCTATGTCTATAATTTTTTAAGATTTGTAGTTAGAAATTGAAATGGCAATAGGTGGATTGCTTTTTATTCTAGAACTTGTGAATATTTTGAAGAGGAGCAAATAAACCATCATATCTAATATCTAGGTAAATGAAAGGTTAGAACTTGAGATCCTTACAATGAGATGATCTTTATGCTCAGCCTCTGTAGAAGCTGAGTCAACTCCTACTCTGAGCTTTTGCCCGGACTGCTTTTTGCTTTTTAGTTTTTCATTGTCATATCTTTTTAAGATGAACTTAAGTCTTAGAAATTGATAGTTTATATGTCTGACTTTTATAGCTAAGATTTGTTTTTATAATCTTCTGCAGACTTAAATGTTAGGAGAAACTGTGCCAACTTATGGCACATGAGCTTAACATGTGACTCAGCAAGTTTCTGGTTTGGATGGCTGTCAGGCTCAGGGTAAAGAGCCTGTGTGTACACAGAAAGCTCACAGATACCCATTTAGGTTTTTAAAATTGGAATAGATACTTAGGAATTACCCAGATTTTCCTAAAAGGAAGCTTTTTCCATAGTATGTTTTTAAGGTTGAATATCCACTCTAGAAACATTTCTAGTCTTATGAAGAAAGTGTTTTCCATAGTTTCAGAAAAACAATATGACAACTTTAAAGTTTAGCAAGTTTTAACTACAATGAACAAAGGTAGGAATAAATAGTTCTAAGGAAGGTTCTTTTTATTTTGTTTGTTAACTCCCAGGGCAAACTATTGTAATAATTGATTATAAGACATTTTCTTTGTAAGAGGCTATGAAGAAGACAGACTTACTGCTGTTGATTTATGCCTTTAGACATCTGGTTTTAATTCTAAAATATGAGTCACTGTAATGTGAGAATTAGTATAGGTGTAAACCAGAATACTACTAGATATCAAGAACGAAGAACTTAGTGTCGATGTTGGGTAACATTTGCTTCCTTTTCTGTGGGTAGATCCAAAGCCATCGGGAGGGCAGTTGAAGTCCAGGCTGTCATCATGTCTGCTGCCTGGCTTTAATGGTTTGTCAGAATGCCAGTCCCCTTGATTCGAGGCTGCATGAGTAATGGGATCCTTGCATAGAACCACAGGCTAATTTGGTCATCCTGTATGGAAAAAGTCCAGTGGTGATTAAGTGTTTGTCCCAATTACATAGCTTCAGTCAGATGGTATCTTTTATTTGGTGAACAGAAGAAAAAAGCTTGGCCTACCTTTGGTTTCTCTGACAGAAGTGTTCTGAAGGCTTGCCTAGTATATTGTTTTACATGAAAACCTTAATATTAACTAATTGGAGATATTTCTTCCCTTCCTGACTGAAATGTAAAGGTTAGACTTTCTGACACAGAATCAAATCCTGCATCTAGAATAGTTCATCAGACAGGTGCAGGAATAAAACAATCTGAATGTTGCTTATTGTTCTTGCTCTTTAAAGGTCAGGGTGCTAGATTTCAAACTTATAGAAAAGTTTAAGAATTGCACAAGGAACACTTTTATACCCTTTGACCAGGATCATCCATCACCTTTTGTTAGCTGTTAGCACTTCACCTCATTTGCTTTATTATTGGTGCTTGTGTGTGTGCCCTCACTCCCCCTCCCTCCGTCCCTCCCTTTCTCTCTTTCTCTCCATGTATATACATTCTATTCTTTCTGAACTGTTTGAGAGTTAAGTTGTTTATATCATGCCTTTTACCATAAATACTTAAATGCGTATTCCTAAGAATAAATACGTCCTTACATGACTGTGGTTTAGTTATCGACCTTGGTTCAATAACTTACCAGCCATGTTTCATTTTTTTTGTCCATTGATAAACATTGTCCTTGTATTTTTTTTTCTTGCCTGTACAGGATCCTCTCTGGAATCATGTACTTTTTTGAGGGGGGTCATATTTCCTTAGTCTCCTTTTAATCTAGAACGATTCCTCAGCCTCTCTGTCTCACTGTCTATCTCACACAACTTTTGTTTAATAGAATGTTCCTCATTTGGGGTTTGCCTGGTGTTTCCTCATGGTTATATTTTGATACATGTCCCCAGTTTTGTCCCTAGGATACATCGGTAGGCAAACACACAGGCATCTGCCTCTAGTTGGTGATAGTAATTTTGATCACCCATCAGGTGATGGTCCAGTTTCTCTATACTTGTTCCTTTTGAATAAGTATCTTTCTCTGGCTGCCAGTTAAGATTTATGTCCTCATCTAATGAGACTTGGAACTCAGCACAGGACGCCAAGGTCTCAAAGCCCTTTGTAAGTACTTAGCTTTCACAGTGACCCTGAGAAACAGGCCTCCCAATTTTTCCCCTCTTTTCTTTCCCTGTATATCACATTCTAGTACTTTTTGGGGATGGCTGTTGAAAGAATCAAGAAGTTAAAGGTAGGACAAAGAATTTTACCTCTATACTCAAATGCTGTATTTTCCCCCTCTTCATCCCTTTTATCTGTCAGGCCTCTGCTGGTAGAGTGAAGGATGTCAAAAGGACAAAAAGAAGAGTAACAATAAAGCCCAGAGTGGCAATTAGTCATTACTAATAGCCCACTCTAGTATCTCTTACTGTCCTTAATAGTAGAACACCTAATTTTCATCTGGATACATGGCCATCTGCAATGAGTAGCACATTTCCCATAGCTTGTAGCTAGGTGAGGCTGTGTGGCAGGAGACTACATGCCTTTTTTCTGCCCTTTGTCTTTCTTGTTGACAGCAATGTGGATGTGATGTTTGTTTGAAATGCGAGCAACATCTTGGACTATGAATTGGCAACTAAAGATGGTGTTAGCAAGATAGAAGGAACATAGGTCCCTAGTGATTGAAGAGCTGCCATGTACTGCCTACCTTAGACATCTTTTACGTGAAAGAGAAATAAACATCTTGTTCATTGAAGCCACATATTGAGTTTTCTGTTATCTGCAGCTAAGCCTACCTGACTGATAAAGAGATGCTCTGGGAGGAGAGTAATACTGATGCACTTGTTCTGCTAGAAGACCCTGTCTCAGGTCTGCTACTCTTATATTGTTCTGAATTTGGACACTGTTCTGAGTGATGGGACCACAGTAATAAAGTCTTTCCTCCTCTTACGGAGTTACCATTCTAAAGGAGAAGTCAGACAATAAACAAAAATACCAATGTTAGCTTGCATGTGCCATGAAGAAAAATAAAGCAGGTAAGGGGCATAGGTAGGGAGTGCCAGCTCAGGGATGACTGTAGGAAAGTTGTGAAGGGAGTGGTGGTGGTGGTGGGGAAAGCCATGCAGATGGCCAGGGCACAAGCTTTCCGGTCAGGACAAAGACTGAAGTGGGAGTCTACTTATTTTTTTGGAGGAACAGCAGGGAGGCCAGCGTAGCTCCAAACAGCTAGACCTTTGAGAGTGATGGGTATTTTATTATGTTGATTGTGGTGATGATTTCACAGGTGTGTATATATGCCAAAACTTAAAAAACTGTACACTTTAAATATGTGCACTTTGTGGTCTGTCAACCATACCGCAATAAAGTTGTTTTAAAAAGTCATAGCTATCATAAACTAGAAACTACTCTTAAGAATCCTTATAGACAGCAATACCATATTTGCTATTTAACCCTCTTGCTTTTGAGTTTTCTATAAAACTACCTTTCCTTGTTTGCATAGTCTTATGTTTCTTTGGGCTTGTGTATGTCCTCTTTTGTTCCATACAAAGCACAGTATGTACGAATAAATGTTTAATCATGAATTTAGAAATGTGGCCATCCTGCCAAGCAAGTGAGGGAAGTTATTGGATCTGAAATAAAGGGATCAACTAGGTGTTTTAAAAATGTATGGGTTATGGAATATGACTCAGCAATAAAAAAGGATGAACTATTGGATGGATCTCAAGGGCAGTATATTGAGTGAAAAAGCCAATCTGAAATGGTCATATACTGCATGATCCTATCTATATAAATGACAAAATTATTGAGGTGAAGAATAAATTAGTAGTTAAGGGTTAGGAATGGTTTTGGGGGTGGGAGGAGCAGGGAATGATTATAAAGGGGTAGCATGAGGGGGAATGTTTGTGGTGATGCAATAGTTCTGTATCTTTATTGTGGGAGTGGTTATACAAGTCTATACACGTGATGAATGACAGAATTATACACAAACACACCAGTATCAGTTTCCTGGGTGATATATTATACTGTAGTTATGTAAGAAGTAACCGTTGTAGGAAAGTAGGCAAAGGGTATGTGGGGCTTCTCTGTATTCAACTTCTTGTGAATCTACAATTATTTTAAAAAAATAAGTTTAAAAAAAAATAAGGACTTCTGGTTCCAGAAAGATGGAATAGATGTACCTTTCCCTATTCTTATTGCTAAGTACAACTAAAATCCTGGACGTTACACATACATAAAAAGCAAGCATAGAAGACTCTGAAAGATGGTGAGAAGGCAGACCTGCTAGGAAACTTGGGACCCAAGGAACAACATGATGAGCTCTCTGGAGTTTCTTTTTGCCTCATATGTGCCAGACTTGAAGTTGAAGAAGCTGGCAACCAAGAAACACCCATGGGCAACAGACAAAACACACCCCAAGAAAAAAGGACCAGAAAATACACCCCTTTAGCGAAAGGACCAGAAAAGAGGCAGCTTAACAAACCTTTTAGACAATACTATTCTACTCCAGCCAAACACCACAGAAAAAACTTGCCCTGTCCCAACCCATGTCACAAAGGCCAAGTGGGGAGCTTAGACTTCCACCCTTGTGAGGCTATAATGAAGTGCTCCAAACTCCAGCCAGGTGGTATCAGAGAGGAGCTGGGATTATCATTCCTATCTGGCAGTGACAAGGCATTGTTCCCTCTTGATTGATGTAGTGTCAGAAGAGTTTAAGGACTTTCACTAATGCCCAGTGGTTATGAGGCTGCGAATATCCCCGTGTCAGTGGAGGCTTTGTGGGGAGCAGTAACAAGGCACTGCCACTCCCATCCATAGGAGTATTAGGAGGCCTATTGGAGAGCCAGAACTTAAACTTTAGCCCAGCAGTAATGCATAACCCTTCTCGTGTCCAAGGAGGCTGACTAGGCAACCTGGACTTCTGTCTCCACCTGACAGTAACAAGAGGGCACCTTCCCCCTTCTTCTGCCAGATCATTGTGAGAAAAAGCTAGCAAACAGAAGGTTTAAATAAGATCCAGAGTCAGGACATAATAAGAAAATATCCAAGTTTCAATCTAAAATCACTCATCATACCAAGAGCCAAGAAGATCTCAAACTGAATGCAAAAATGCAATCAATAAGTAAGACAAAGATGCTAGAGTTATTTGACAAAGATTTTAGAGCAGTCATCATAAAAGTGCTCCAGTGAGCAATTAAGAACATGCTAAAACAAATGAAGAAATAGAAAATTTCAGCAAAGAAATAGAAGATATAGAGAAGAACCAAATGGAAATTGTGGAACCTCCAAATAAAATAAATTCAGTGGGTGGGCTGGGCTCAACAGCAAGCAATCAGTAACAGGAAGTAATCAGAGAACTTGAGGATAGAACAATACAAATACCCAATCTAAACAACGGAAAATAGACTTTAAAAAATGAACAGAACTTTAGGGACTTGTGGGTCCCTGAAGATCAAATATTCATGTCAGAGTGCTCCCTTTTAAAAAGGTAATTGGGGCAGGTGGGGGTAGTTCTGGGGGAAATTGAACTTAATATAAGGGATAGGCATAGGAATGCATTGTCTGTTGATCATTTATTTTAAAAATCTAACATTTATACGATTCACCATGCTTAGACTATCTCTGAAATCAGGTAACAATTGTTTAGGGGAAGGGAACTGAATAATCGAATGGTAGAGGGACTGCGAGGGAGGAGACTTACCTTGATTTCTGTATTATGTTCATGTATTAACTATGCACAAGAATGAATAAATTTAAAATTAACTGGTGGTCAGATTTCCTATAGGCCTGTCTCCTCGGAGTATTTTGCTCAGATTTTTGCTTGAAGGTTTAAGTCCAGAAAACTCCACCTACCCACCTTTGCCAGAGTCCACAGGTGTCCCGGACATATGGGTTACCATTTAAAGTGTATGGACGAAATAGAGTGGAAATAGCACTGTCTTACAGTAAGAACACTTGGGTTCTAGTCTTGTCTCACTAAGTAGCTGAGATCTTGAACAAGCTCTTTCAACTATTTCCCTGGGCTTCAGTGTCCTTATTTTCAAGACGAAGTTGATCTCTAAAGCCCTTGGGAATTTAAAGTTACTGTCTCATTTTCTGCTGCCTCCAGCATTTGAGTGGGTTCCTCCGCACTGCACCTCTTAGGTGTTGAGTAAACATTTACCTATTGGTTAACCAGGTAGAGGCTAAGAGGGGCACGAAGAGGATAACGAGGCTTCCCCCTTCTCATCTAGCATAAAGCAGTAGAGCGCAGTGCTTGTACGGGCCTGTGAGATCCTTGAGACTACTTTTCACTCCCCAGCCTGACTCCTGGAGTAGTTAGCTGGTGTTCAATACATAATGAGTGAAAATGTGAGGGAAATAAATGAGACGCGGACCAAAAGGTGCATAATTATCTAGCAAATTCCTGCAAAAAAAACCCCCAAAACACACACACACACACACAACCCCCAGACATCCTGCCTTTCCCCGCCCGAAGCTTTAAGGCGACTGCGGGGGTGTGATCCTCTGGCAGTCGAGAGGGGAAGCCTTTCAGATCTCGCTCGGCAGAGGCAGACGGCAGGGCG